AAAGAAAGAAAAAAAAAGAAAGAAAAAAGGTGCTCTATTTATTTGCTTTATCCTGAGCAAACAACCCATTTTTGAGAAGGAACTACAAATCTAAAGTCTTTCATTGCCCAAAAAGCACTCTGTCAAATTAGAGGGCAGCATTAGCTCACAAAACAACATCATGACCTTGCAGAACTAACAGCATCCCTGTACACTAAGTACAATTACCAACAGTCCAATAAAGCTGCTGAAAATGCAAGTTATCTCCCAGTTCTGGACTTTAAAGACGTGATATCTTAATATGACAGTTACAGAAATATATATTTATATAAAATTAAAATGGCAATCATCAGACCTTTGAAGAATATGCATAATGTGAGCTTTTAAAGCTGACACCTAGGAATCACTAAACAAAAATAGAATTCTGGCACTCATTGCAAACCAATACTTAACCAGTCTAATCTGTGGGGAGCAGGGGTGAAGGAATCAAATCATCACTTCTGAAATCACCCCTCTGCTTAGAAAACTCCAAGGTTCCTAATGCCTAAAACATTCTTTGACTGAATATGTGGTTCAACTGATACAATTTACATCAAAACACAGACGAGGAAAACCTTACAAAATTGTGTGTAGTGAGAGGAACGTGATCAAGGAAGTCCACTTGTAGTTCCTCTCCAATCAAGGAGGCAGCATCTGTATTCCAATCCAAACGCACTTTTTTTCTGAAAGAAAGAGAAAATGGGGACAACAAAATTACTCAGGAGGTAAGAAGCCTAGCCTAATCAATGATCTATGTTTGTGAGTTTTCTTGAGTAAACTGAAAACAACTACAAGAAAGTGTGGCTAACCTCTTATAGTCAGCTATATTTCAGTGTCTTTCACTTAAAAAATTAGGAGCAACTTTGAAACCATAGCGATTCACCTCTTTTAATACGTAAGTCATTTAGATATATAGATTATTTGAAATAAGACACCTAGAAGCTGTAATGGAGTCATAGAAACACCCTTAAAAACAAAACATAAGAAATTATGAATGGCAGACTTGGTGACATGAAAGCCTTACTATGTGCTTCAACACTAAAGTTACTGGTGACCCCAGAATGGACTCAGTTACACAGAGATGTAAACCCACAAATGACTGCCTCATGAGTGAGGCTTGCAGGAGCATTAAGCCCAAGCCTTACGAGGTGTGAAGTTAAATGTATTTACTCCACGAGATACCTTCACTCCCTCAGCTTGTAAAAGAATCATTTGGTATTTAATAGCAGCATCCCCGGTCCTACAAAAAATAAGGAATATCTGAAGTGAGATTGAAATCCAAACATTGAAAAGTTGTAGAGGAAGGTAGAGCCTTAAAACTGAGCACATTTCATTTAAGAATCATGACCACTAAAGATTACCAGCTACAAATGGAGAAGAGAAATGCACCTTAAATATGAAGGCACATCATATAATTTTATCTACAGTACGACGAAAACCTCTGTAAGACACTACGAGCACTTGAGTGTACCCCTCAATATTGAGCATTTTTAATATTTAGCTTTAAAACAAAAATATTTTTTTTAATACGGAGGGAGCTGAAAAAGTTGCCCTAGAGAAGGGTAAGTAAAGCAACATGGAAGTGTTCACAACCAAGTTTTAAAAGAAACTAGCATGAGAGAGGAAGAAAGTATTATTGCTTGTATTCTAAAAACAAGATTTTTACATTCTCTAGTTGGAAGTTTCACATGTAACATTACAGGTTCTTACCCTTTTGGTTCAGTAAGAAGTCGAAAAACTGCACAGCATTCTGGCTGCAGACCTCTCACTTTAAGTGCCTTCATAAGACAATCATGTAAGGTCATTCCATTTCGCACATTTACCTGTGACCAAAAGAAAAAAAAAATCAAGTTAGTGATTGCAGAATTTAAGCTTTTTTTTTTTTTTTTGGGGGGGTGGGTATTTTCTTCTGCTATTCTTTATAAGTTCCAATAAAACTTCACAGCTGTTCACTTTTGAAGTTAATAGGTAAATAAAAATTACTTGTATGCTGTAACAACAGACTGCTGTGCCTTCTGATTTCACTCGCCACACGTTCAGACAACCTGCCAGACAGGCGTGTTTTCTGACACACATGTAACTATTGTGTACTTATGCAAAGGAAGTTTTGAAGCCATTTTATGACTTGTCAATGTCTTACCATTACCAAGCTTCTGTGAAACAGGATTTTATACAGCATTCATACAAGCAGGTAGCTTGTAAAAGGAATAGAAACAGAGGCAAACAGCTACCTTTACTATAAAAAAAGGCTTAATTTAGATTTCAGGAAATTTTGTGTAAGACAATTATTAGTATGCGCAGCTCCAAGAAATCTAATAGAAGCATTACCCCAAGAAGTTTCACTTCAGCTTTAACTACCACACTTCACTGTGGGCATCCAGGCGAAGAAAATGGTGACAGAAATGACAACGTGTTACTTCATACAGGCATTATTATTTAGGCCAGACAACTACTGTCTTTTAATGTGAAATGTGTAAGCAAAGTATCTTGCTCATGTATATCAGAAAAATACAGCAGCGAGGTAGAGAAATACAGGTTCTCAAAATACAGATACACTGTTTTCCAAATATGCCCTCTAGAATGAAGGTACTGATGACAACACACAATCACAGTAAGACCTTCCGTGAAGCTTGGCATTTCTCCTGACAGATACATGCCATAGCGTTAGCAACAGGAACAGTAAGACATTTCTTACAGAAAGGTAATCTATACTTACCACCGTGCGCTGCTTGTTGGGCAAGAAAACACGAATAGTATTACTAGTTTTGGAAGTATCTGATATTTTGCCATCATCAGATGCTCGACGTTGATAACCAAACTGCTGGACAATGGTAGGTGAGATACAGTTTGGGCCATCAAAGACAGAATCCTTGAGTCCAAAACCATTACTGATGGTCTTCCAAGCTCCCTGAATGTGCTCCATTGATGCAGTCTACAAAAAAAAAAGAAATTTAAAAAAAAAATTGAGGGAGTCAGGGAAAATTACAACATCCTTCACTATAAATTGGTACTCTCTCTTTCTGACACAACAGACTCGCAGCCTCTTTTGAAAGCATCTGAAAACTGCACTGCCTTCTCCCTTGTGACATGATCAACCTACACATACATGGTTGAGTTCACCCACATCTGCAAAATGAGACCAAGTCATGAAACTGCAAACATTAGCACAGACTGCACAGTTAAGAAAAAGAGGTCCAACAGGAATTATAATAAAAATAATTGAAGGAATTCTATCTTTATCAGTGATTTTGGGGCTTTGGTTTGGGGTTGGGGGCATGGTTTGGTTGTTGGTTTCTTCCATTTATTTTTAAAAAGGGTAGCGACTTTAATACTGTTAGTACAAAATATAAAACACTGTAATAGCATCACAATTTACATAGTATGAAACAGCAAAAGAAATGCCTAAAAACCCACATACACAATGCTCAGTTATATTTCAGCATAAACAGTGCAGGGACGTGAACAACTCCCTGCGTACTTCCCAGTCAGCACACAGCACTATTTTTGCACATTCAGGGGCAAAGATAAAGGTATCAGTGTATTTTTCCCCCAGCTATCACAACTCCAATGCAACTTGAAATCCAAATTATACTCCAAACGCATTTTACTCAAAACGAAGCAAAAAGAAAGCCTGAAGCAGTTTTTAACAGTGAAATGTACTCCTTGCAAAACTTCCAAGTAGCCAGATTCATCACCAAGCTTTCAAAAAGAAAAAAAATAATTAAAAAGGAAGACTGAAAATAAGCACAGTAGTTTATTTCCCCCATAAAACAACATCCTTCCATAAAAATCTGAGAAACTGATGCTCAGAACTACACGGTGCAAGTGCAATTCTTTTGGCATGCTAGTAGATTATTTCCAAATTAATCTTCAATGGTTGTGCACACCACATATATTCCTGATCACCTCTATGAAAGAGAAAGAAAGTCATAGTAAAGCTGCAAAGTCAAAAAGCAACTCAGTCAGGAAATGCCAAAATAAAGGTCTTCCAAGCAGTCCTAATCCCATCCCCTTAAGGTACAGGAAAGACTTACACTGAAAGACCTACGTTGTTCCCCTGAAACCACTAATAATTCAATAGATAATACCCAACACTCCTTAACTGAACAGCTCTCGGTATCTCCTGAAGTCTCATTTCATGCATGGTCCTGTGCCTCCTTTGTTGGAAATTATTTGCACCCTCCAATTCACTTCTTCACGCTCTTTTGTGTAGCACCCATTGAGAGAGAGAAGAGTGCTCCCCTCATCCCAAACCCTCACGTGCTTATGGCAGAGAACAAAGATGGTGTTTGTTACAGTTGAAGAGCTAAAGTAATGGAATTAATGGAAAAAAACATTTCCACTAGTGTTAAATGTCCATTTTGGGATGCCCAGAAGGATAAACTTTGAATTTCAGAGTGTTTCAACCACAGCACCACTGCGAAAAGCCTCAGCTAGGTTTGTAAGTCTTCAACATCACTACAGCCCTAAGCCCAGATCTGATCAGTATCTAGAAAGGAAACATGTAAAAACAAACTGAAAGGTTAGGTTTATACGAAGCACCTAGCATCGCATGCAAATTCTACAGCAGAAGAGCTCTATGCCTCCTACACGCTCTGCTACAAAGGGATCTTTTTGGTCAGTTCCTAAACATTTCTTTCACTGACTTATACAATGACAACATACACATCTGCTCCTTCTCTCCTGCCTTTCGCTGTCACTCCTGCATCAATGACACCATTTGTGCAGGTCCAGTCAGTCAAAGGCTCAAAATATTTAAATGCCGATAAGATATAAAACTCAGCATCCAATCAAAACCTAATAAGATTTAGATACTTGGAATTATTTTCTTTTTTAAATATATGGCACCTAAATGACAAGTTGTTATGGTTTTGTGTGGGGGGTTTTGTCTGGTAGCAGGGAGGGGTGTAATGGCTCCTTAAGCAACTGCTAAGAGTTCCCCTGGCTTCCAGCCTGCTGCTGGCAGCAAGGGAGGGGCTGCAGTGGTGGCTCCTTTTTAAATGACTCTTAAGGAGTCACCCCCCTTTTGCCCCAAGCGTTTGGTAAAGGGAGTGGGGGAGGGGCACCACTATCATGTAGCCTTTTTGTAAGAAACTGCTTGAAGTGTCCCGCTCAGGCTGGACCCGTCCCAGGTCAGGGCTGAGCCCACTGGCACCTCTGGGAATGACATATTGAAGAGGGGCACAGAACAATGGGTTGGCGCGACCCCGGGCAGGGCATGGCTCAGGTGGGCGGCCTGGCCATCCAGCCGCCTGCTCGGCTTCTGCGAACCAACCTGCCCTAGCCCAAGCCTCCACCATGGCTCACCCAGGAGTCGTTCTTCCCGGGAGCCGATGAAGACCTTCAACAGCAGAGAAAAAGAAGTGGGATTTGAGAGATGAAGGAACCATATGACACTCCAGTCAGCGAGAGAGAGAGAGCTTCTCCGTCATTTTCCCCTGCCACGTGGTGAAGAAAACAAGCAGCCGCGGAGGACCCCACGCTGGAACTAGAAGCCCCATGCTGGAGTCGGGGGAGTCGTCAGGGGACTGACGCCCCGTTGGAAAATCCACGTGGCAGCCAGGAGAGACTGTGAGGAGGAAGGAGGGGCGGACTGACTGCAGCCCCCCCACTCCCTGGCCCCCCTGTGCCGCCAGGGGGGAGAAGGTACAGAACAAAGCCTTTGGGCTTTGGGAAGAAGGGAGGGGGGGGGGAGAAGTGCCTTTTTGTAAGATGTGGTTTCTCTCTTTCAATATCCTGCTTCTTGTTGTAAATAGTTAATAAAGTCAATTGTTTTTCTTGTTCTTCCCAAGTGATGTGGGTTTCTTGCCCATGACCCTGAGTGGTGAGTGGGACCCTCCCTGTCCCTGTCTCAGCCCACCAGGTGTTTAGAAAAACTCTCCCTGTGGTTTTATAAACCACAACACAAGTCTTACATTTGATGTAAAAAGAGACCAAGGAATGGGAAGACAGAGACATTCGGGAAGGAGGAGGCAGGAGGGAAGATAAAACTGAGGAACACAACCAAGTTCAGCATGCACAAGCAGCAAGTACAACAATCTCACAATTCATACACACTGCCCGACTCTCTGGAATATTACGCATGTGGACAGCTAAAAGATTAACTAATTAGATGGTGACAATAAAACCAGAGCAGAGATAAGCCGTTAGATAAGAGGGGTAAGATGAAACACAGACAGCTTGTTCTCTTTTCCCCTCTGAACTTACCCACTGTGGGAAACCCTACTTTACTTCACCCTTCTACATAATGCATGAGACAAAACAAGAAGAGGAGCTCAAGTGGATTTCTCTACCAAGTAAGTTGAGATAAGGAATAGCAGAGCAAGCATCAAAACCTCCTTGCTGTCACTGCTGACCTAAGCTGACAACACCCTAACGTTACAACCTATATATTTAATATTTTGACATGCTGCAAACATTTCCTGAAAAATTCAAGAGAAAACAGGAAAAGACCAAAAATTCAAACTTGCACCTTGACGAAAGACAAAAAAAGGTACTCCCCTGCTCTGCCGGTGCTCTCTTGTCCAAATATGAAAAGCCTACTGCATACTGCAAAAAAGCCTACTAGAGAAGATCACAGAAACACATTTTGAGGCTGTTGTACACACACAGTCAAAAGAACACAAAGAAAGCAACTGCTATCAGCCTTCTGTACAATACAAATATCAGTTGCATTGTGCATTTGGATCCTGCTCCTTCCTAGGATCTTTGCCTCAATTAAGTGCTGGATATCCTCAGGACTGTGTATGTTTGGCATACTCCTCTCTTCCAGAGATGCCCTGCTCTCTCTTGCCACCCTGCTTCACCAGTGCATTTTTGCCATCTCTTTGGCTGCAGCTGATGAGCGTATCCTCGGCAGCTTGGGTTTGCTCACAAATACTGAGAGTTCTTTTTCTAGAAAATGAAAGTTCTTGCTTCCTCACCTCAGCAGGCAAATGTAAAACATGCCATCCTTGGCTCTCCTTCCTGCCTAAGCAGAAGGATATAGATTCCACTCACAGACTTCAAGTAGGAGCCGCCAGTGAAGGGAGAAGATGAGAACTTAGCTCAGATCTGGCCTGGAGTGGACAAAAGTCTCAAGTGGCCTGAGGGTGGATGGGTAGGGGAGAAGAAAGGGAAGTTTAAAAGATATTTTCAGTCTCCTGGGGAGAGACAAGGAATGCATGATGAAAAGTTGCTAAACCTGCTCTTGGCATCCATGGTGCAAAGGCATGCAGCTGTTAAGGTAGAGCTTGGTGAAGAAACAGCAGTAATCGATTGTCATTCTGCTGACTTTTGCAACTATTCAGAGGCAACCCTCATGTGGGATGACAGGAGGCTCCAGGTCCTCAGAAATACCTCTTCACTCGAGCCAAGAAGAGTCTAGTAGAGAAGACTTCAATTCTGATACCGTATGGATAGCCACTGGACATGTGCACTTCTAACTGGTCTTACTCCAAATTATAACCGTAGAGACAGTCTTAGAAGTAATTACTAATGAATTACACTTTCCCCCTGCCCTCTAGCATAAAGAAAGATAGCTTAAAAATTATATGAATATATACAAAAACATCCACTTCAAATTCAAACAGCTCACTTCATGGATAGATATGAGGTAGGAAAATTAGCATGACAACGACTTGACCAGCTTTCAGCTGACAAAAAAAGATAAATATATGCAGCATAATACACACATACACACACAATTTCTAGTTGATACATTGAACACAGAGCCAAGCACAACAGCAGAAGACAACATACTATTTCACAGGACACAGGTTGGTGTGTCCACTTTCTGGCCACCTGAACAGATAAGACGTCCACAGCATAGCTGACCTGTCAGTGTCCTGTAACCTGTTTATTCATTTTGGGTCGTTTTCTCTACGCAGTCATTGACGAAAGCCATTTTTACTGAAACTAAACTAATTTTCTCCAGCTCTCCCAAGATCTACACCAATTCACTCCAGTGAAAAGATGTCTGATATGTTCTAAAGAGAAATTTAATTTAAAATAAAGGAGGGAAGGTTTTATATTTACATCTTCATAAACACACAACTCTTAGTTTGTCTATTCCAGAAAAACTATCTTTTTTTCCTTTAAATGAGTTACAAGCATGTTTCTGAAACGTAATCATTACCAGATATTAGATTTATATTTATGCCACACTCACATAATCCATTGCCAGCGAATGTTTTAATGCATCTAAAATTTTTCTTTAAAACTTTTCTTACCGCAACTCCTCACTTTCATAAAAATTACTTCAAACAGCCTGGCTACAACTGAAAAACTGCAACAGCAGAATTCAAAGAATATGTTAAGATACTAAAGTATATCAGTCTCCTTGTAGATCCAGTACTGCTAGGAAACGGATACTGATTTGTTTCATGTTAAACATTCCATCTGAGCAGAAAAAAAATCTCCATTCACTATTCATTCACCTCCCACAGGTATGGAGGTATCCCACACACTGACCAAGATTGCACTTTCATTAGTATTTTTTGCATAATTACAGCTGTTGATAATCAGCCATTTGAACAAGTACTAAAACCCAATGCACAAAACAGCCATGCAATGTGCACATCCAACAGTAACAAATTCCTAGAGATCATTCTCTCATATCGACTCAGATCATACATTCATATCATTCATTCATATCCAAAAGATACTTTAAGTTACTAAACTTTTTCCATGACTAGCAAAAAGTGTTTCATCTGAACTGTTAAAAATTTCAGTCTGTCTCCCTAAGCAATGCTGAAACTGGTAATGAAAAAGCCTGAAAGTTCACAGGATACAAAGCTCAACTCCTCTCAGTATAGAGTTTAGGTGCCATGCCCTTTCCTTTATTTCTGGAACAAACACCAAAAGCTTTTAAAGAAAAACATAAATAGAGTTCCCCCTCCCAGCACACACACATGCTGCCATTTTTATCCACGTGAACAATTAAAAGTCACATTCATGTTTAATGAAATACATACACAAACACAACACACCACAGAACAAAACACAGAATCCATTTCAAAGTGAACACTTTTGTTAGAAAACATAAGCTTTAAAAGTTGCTTATAAGAAAACTTTTCATCCCTGACACAAAAAGATCAATAAAACATTCAGCTGCAGTTTCTTCTCAGCTCCCTCCCATACAGTAATTCTCAATTGATTTAATATTGTATGGGCGACCACTTGTCTGGGGAAAAAAAGAAACCCACACCAAACAAGCATCTAATGGGATACATAGAGCAGTATTTTTTTTAAAGTAGCTTTTCATAGCAGTGGAAGATAAGTATGGACTCATTCCTATACTAATAAATAAAGCTGTGATCCATGTAAACATAAACGCCGGGTATGAGTTACAATCAGTCTAACAACCCAAGCAGATCTCTTGTAGATCTACAAGGTTGATGTTTTTCCTTCTAATGTCTTTCATTTTAAGAGACCAACACCAAAAAGCAAGCTTCTCCCTAGCAGAACTGACAAAAAAATAAATTAAAAATTAACAGGAGGAAATGTCATTGTTCAGGGGAAAAAACCCAAACGAAACCCAACCAAACACACACACCTCCCAAACCAAACAACCGATACTGGAAGATTACACACGTAACTTCTGCCTCCGTTGTTCTGATCTTGGAGGTATCTTTTCTCATCTTTTTCTCTATGTCTCTGAACCATTCATTTCTTAGTTACTACTTCAGCCATTGTGCTGCCAATGGAACTTTGAAGTTTTAAGGAAAGAAATAACATTGGTTTTCCAACAATTGGGGTCTACTGTAAGGAAGGTACAAGCAAACACAACTCTTAGTCTGACACACTCTGAGACTGATTAATCCTTTGCAAGATAAACACTTCTTTGTATTTAAGAGTAACTTCCACAGTAAAACTTTGGTTAGTAAGCATAAACCAAGTCATATTACTTTGCTGTAGCAGGCTGTACTTTGGGCTCTGTTTAGGAGGCATTTGTCACCAAAACTATTCCCACCCTTAGCTGCTCTGTGCCTCCTCCCCTCTCTGTCGATGAGAATGGCTCCAGGCCACTTTTCCTAAACTATTCTTAGGAAGATCTGTTTGGTTTGTCCTTTCCACACAGATCATTCTCATGTCAGTCATCCATTTCTTTCCACATGAAATTTCTACCACGTTTAAATGCTCTATACGTTCAAAACCAGAATTCCTTCATTACAGAAACAGGAGCACTGAACATTCTGCTTGTACCTAAAAGAGCACAAAGGGATATAGAATCCAAATCCTTCCCTTTCCTAAAGCATAAAAGCAACCCCAGGTAAAAAGAAAAATGCAGCAGGTGTTTCCAAGCACTCAGTCAGAACTTTTTTCAGTTTTAGTTAAGTACTGCTGCTGAGTTTATATAGATTCACAAAAAAAGTTTATAAAATTGCTATTAAAACAGCTATGAAAGGAAAAGGCAAGCAAGGGGAGTACACAAATTTTGCACATACATTTTGTACAAGTTTTGCTAACAAAGCACCAGAACACTATGTCATGGTGTAAAACCTACACTTGTTTCTGATTTTTATCTTATAATCAAAATTGATGAATACTGAGAAGTAGTCACTCAATGCTTTAAATGTCCTTTCTTAACACTATGAAGACTACTAAAGCTGAAGTGATATTTAAGATGCCCTCATTTAAGTTGGCAAATTCCAATGCATTACTAGAAATAAAAAGCATACTGAACACTGCTTTCTTATATCTCATTCTATCAGAATCACATTATATGACACTCTCGTCATGCTTAGACTTCCTGTTTCTTCACAGCAGAATCTTCCAAAGAAAGATTTAGAAAGATAGATCTTTAAAGCAGACCTTGCATTGCAGAAGTAGGACTATGAGTTTTTGTGTGTATTGACATTACACAGACAAGACACTTTGGACAAGCATTTTTTCCCCCAAGTCTTCCAATCAACTGTACATACATTTTCAGACACGTGCCTATTTGCATTCTGAACTTGCTCATGCTTGAATTGTTTAAAGGACGGATGAAAGCCACAAACTGTATTTACAGTTGCCTGGAATTCATCCACTTTACAGCAAGGAGAAAAAAATTACTCAAATGTCAGCAATCCACCACATGCCCTTCCCACACAAGTTCTCAAGGATTAAACAAAAGTGAACTGAGAATCTCAGCACAAAGTATTACTGGCTTTGTCCTCCCTCAGTCACACGTAGTGAATGAAACAACACCGAGGATGCCACCGCTGAGAACACATCAGTCTTTAAAACAACCTCAATTTTGCTAGAAAGGAACACAGTCCGAGATATTAGGTTATTCAAGTAACTTGTGGGAGCTGCTAGTTACGCAGGCTAACTGTCCCGTTCAGACATACCACAGTCACTGCTGAAATACCACTGCAAAATATCAAACAATAGTTCGACAGAATAGGATTCAGTGATCCAGCAAGTTCAAGGTAGGTGTTCTCTGCATTCACTCAGGGCAGTTTTAAACTAATAAACACAGTTGATCAACTGCGGGCTCTGGGCCAGAGCCAGCAGTGCCACCAGGACGTCAACACTACAATTCTAAGAGCCTGGGCATGGAAACAACGTGCAGATTGGGGTGGAGGTGGAGAGGGCAAGGAATAGGGGCAACAGCACCAGGAAAGGTTTGGAAGGGGCCTTGAAATATTTTTTCTGAGAGAAGATAGAACAAATGATTCTCCCTTATATTTTATAATAACGTGCACCTGGGAATAGTTGAACATATGTTTCTGAAATATGAACTAAATCTAACATGATACTACTTGAGTATTTTAGTTACAAACTGCCTGGACAGCTCTGCTAAATTTTCTTGTTTCCTATTCGCTGGTATTTGCAAAGAAGCCTGCATAAAATGGCAAATAAAAACAATGTAAATAGAAATTAGAGACTGTATACAAGCAAAATTACATCAAACATCTACTGTCCCGAGTGCCTCCAAAAAGAAATTATGCTCCGTTTTAACACTCTCTTACATCATCTTCCTAAATACATCCATAAAATTATGTTTCTGGTTTGGATGGGGTTTTATTTATTTAACAAAGTGCCATAACAGACTTTGTTTCAGAGGTACAACCTCACAAAAGAAAAAAAAACCACCACGACCACCAGTTGTAAAATAGTGTCACAGATGCGACTTACATTAGGTCTGGATTATTCCCAACAGATCTGTAGCTGTGTGGAAAGGCAAATGTTGTTTGGAGAAGACAGGCAAGTATCAGTATCTAAAGTTCTAAACTGAGGGAGGCCTTTCCACCTGCAAAGTAAATATTCATGGAGACTGACTAAAGTAAGAGCTTAAGTAAGAGCTTACATTTCTGACAAAGCAAACACTGAAACAACTGTAGGTATAATATCAATTTTGTGGAATTTCCCAAAAAACAAAAAGCAAATTTTAGCGGCAGAGCTCAGTTGTGGTAAATTTCCCTTCCCCCAGGAAATGCCCAGGCACCTCAGAAGAAAGAATGGGGCAGGGTAAGGAGAAAGGGAAAGATAACCAGAGAAAGTTATTATACCTTTAATTTTCCTTTAAGTGGATGAAGTCCTATGACAAAAGGACGAAGTACATCATCTGTGGAAGGTAACAGAAAAACAGCAATTTACTGTTTTAATAGACAAACTTACATACATGCACAACATACCAAATTAGTAACCAAATAATTATGCTGTAAATTACATCAATAGTAGAGTTAACTTCTCATCCTTCTACTGTTTTCAGGGCCTTCTAAGCCTTTCATTATTTTATGCAACATTTCAGAGTAATGAGATGCACTGTGTAAAGCCAGACTGCACGACAACCAAATGCTACCCCAGCTCAACATAATCTCATTCTTATTCAAGAACATCATAAAAATGTTTTTCAGCTAAAACCTCTCTAAAGTAAAAATTAAGCATGAGTTTAATACTTTCTTCTAAGACATCAGTTCCTCACTTACACACAGAAACACCTTGCTGACTCACAAATGCTACGAAAAATCTTGGATCCAAAACAGAAGTACCAAGAAGCTAAGCCTCTGAAGGTTATCTGTGTTTTGCATATAAGCATTAACTGGAAGAGGAAGAACTCCCAGGGAAGCTGAAGAAGGCTTGATTAAAAGATATGAAGCTCAGATTAGTTAAAGAAAGAAGTTTAAGTCAAATATACAAAAATAGACAGTAAATGGTAAAACGCTTTCTTACCCAAAAGTTCCCATCCTAATCAGAAATTCCTAAAACAATCCCATGCAAAGATGATTAGAGGAGGCAAAGATGCAACACAGTCAGAGTCGCTGAGGCTGGAAGGGACCTCTTGAGATCATTTAGTCCAGCCTCCCTGCTCAAGCACAGGCAGCTACAGCAGCCTGCCCAGGACTACACAAACTAGGTTTGAGCATCTCCACAAGTACACATCCCCAGCCTCTCCGTGCATCCTGTTCCAGTGTTTGACTGCCCTCACAGTAAAAAAAAAAAAAAAAAATAAATAAAAATAAGTGTCTTCTTGTGTTCAGATGGAGATTCACGTGTTTTAATTTGTGCTCATTGCCCCTTGTGCTGCCACTGGCACTAAGGAGAAGACTCTGGTGTCCTCTCTCATCCCTCTCATCAGTGTATTCATACACATCAATAACATCCCCAGCAAAGCTTTCCCACATCTCTCTTTATATGAAATACAAGAAAGTACACATAAAAAAAGTCTGAACCATACACCATACATTGACCCTGCTTACTAACTTGCATACCTCTTTACAGTAAACATTTAGGAATGAGACACACAAAATATAGTCAATATGGCTTCCATCATGGCAAAAGATAAGCAGGGAGACTGGGGAAGAGGGAGGAAGAAGTTCTGTCTTTCGCACACCAGAGGAAAAGCTGAGATCTTTAGTTCTAACAGAAGACAACCAGACAGCAATAACAACATACTTAGGAAATAAACCACACTGAATCAAGGGGGAGGAGGTGGTGTTTATTTTTAACAGATTACATTACTGACAATAAGGTGTGAAAAGTGATGTGACCAGAAATTATGTGGGGGCCAGAAGCAGAGAAAAACTGGGAAGATCAGAAACACTGTAAGAACCATAAGAGTAAGCAGAGGACCAGAGAAAGACAACCTGACAGGAACCAATATAGGCATGGGGGGAACAGGGGGAAGTGTTGTTCTTTTGTTTCTTTAAAAGTAGCTAGGCTGACAATTAGCAAACTGATAAAAACAAGGACACAGTTATGATCCTCACATTTAGCTAAGAGGTCAAGAGATTTGCAAAGACCAGTTCCTGAGGAAAACAAGAGCTAAAAACTGAGCTTAAAAGAGTCTGGGACAAACTTCAAGGAAATTAATCCAGTCAATATGATGAAAAAAGAGCTGATGGGGAGGGATAGAGGTTTTACAGACTGAAAAATTGAAAGCATTTTTATTGACAAATCAGCCAGAAGAAAAAAGAATCTCGTACACAAAACGAGAAGGAAAGGCATAGCATAAAACAAGTGTGATGTGTTAAAGAAGTAGCAGGTACAACATTTCTACGTGCAACCAAAGTAACAGCTGTAAGAGAGTAAAAATCACATATTTTTCTTGACAGGTAAGATAGACACGAAAAACAAAAATCAGTAAGAATATCTGCTAATAGAAGTGGCAACAAGAAGGTTTAAGAAGCAAAAAAGTTGACAAAAATACCAGCTGTTATTGCAGATGTGAGATATAATAAAATCTGAGAAGCAGAATTGTTCACCTAAGACAATGGCAAAGTCAAGGGAGAAGAAAATGACTCTGTACTGGAGGAAGTTTGCCTACTTGCAGGATTTCCACCTGAGATACTCCACAGTGCAAGAGAAGCAGGTGTTCTGTAAGGGGAATGCTGAACTCGCACAAGTTGATCACTGATCATACTGCAGTGTCAAACTCCTGCTTTTGAAAAATTAAAAATTCTGCTACAAATATACATCTAATTACACAAATAGCCAGAACAAGAGTTTGAAACAGTTTTAAAATGACAGGTTTGTATTTCAGTGTTGCCAAGTCACTTTTGAACTAGATGCTGATGGTTTTAGAAAACACATCTGGATTAGGTAATTGCAAACGTTAGACATTTCAGCACTGTGATTCAGACAGTCATACATCTGCATATGCGATATCCTATACATGATACTTCTACAACTGAACCCCTGAGTTATACTGTTGTGGAAATCTTGCTGTTTCCTCCAGTTTTCACCACAATCAGTTTGGCAGATACAGTACTCTCTCACTGGCAGTGCTGAAAATGTATTCCCAGAAAAAAAATATTGATTTTCTATTGTGTGAAGGAACCATCAACTTAAATATTAATCAAAACCAGATAAGCTTTTTAGAAGTTATGACAAAAACCTACTACTACTCTTATTCCTGGGCTACACTGTTAATTCCCTGTCTTTAAGAATCACATTGTCTATTTAAAGTCTCCACATGAGAAACTCAGAAAGACAAAACACTCAATATACAAAGGAAACTAAAACAAACAAACAAAAAAAAAAACCTCTGCCAGACATAAAACATGTAAACAAAAGCGAAAGAATATCTCACAGCTACAGCAGCAGTACTATTTGTGGTGACAGAAGAAAAAAAACATTTTCAAATGTAAGACAATTTTAGTCTCAATCTGCCTGATAATTTTATTGAACATTTTCTTCAGAGCATACAGCACTTCTGTAAAACAAAATAATTCCAGGTACTGTCCTGTAACTGAACATCACAAGGGCAGTCTTACTGGAATAGGTAAAAATAGCACTAGTGAGCATGCCAAAGGAGAGTCTTTCCACTGTGTAGCCAGTGCTTAGATTGCAACATCAGCTGGCTCTCTTTTTATAACCTCTTGATTGCCAGTGAACAAGTTACACAGTCAACTTGAAAGGTTTCAGAAATGGAACAGTAAACTCTGGAACTCACTTTCAGATTAAATCAATCCACTGTATCACTCTGACACACTTTGTTTCAGCACGCTATTATTGCCTGCTTAGCTTTCTACTTGCTTCTAAAGCATGTAACACAGACGAATGATGTAATTCAGAGTACGGTTTATTTTTTGTCAAATGTCAGCAAAAAATTAGAGGCTTGCACACTTTATTGTTTCTTTTGGCTGCAACACTCTCTGGAAGCTAACTTACTACATTCTCTAGCGGCCACGCACGTGCCATTCTCCAATGAACCCGTTTTGGCCCGTTTCTGTAGACGCACCCCCTCAACTCCAGCCTCCCTGGAACAACCACTCCCTAGCACCTCAACTCTAAATAGGTTTTTTTTCCATGTTTCCACATAAAAATAGCAACCGTCACAATATGAACATTTACAGCTGTTAGACCAGTGATCAAACTGAGACAGAAGTGTTGTTTTGCTAGAAGAAATTTGTGCTCCTTAGCCAGCAGCTTGACTTACAGATGACTGAAACTGCTTAGCTTTCTAATTAGGTACAAGGGAAACCAGTATCCTCCCATCTTCAACACCACAAACTGGTTTCTGCCTGCTCATGCCTACATATTGGTATTGATTGGAGATGGCTTTCAAAGTTATTGGAGAGATAGGGATGGAAAAGAAAGCTGTAAAAAAACAAGATGTCACTTGGCTTGTACAGTTACTTGTATAGTTTTTTCCCCTCAGTCTAAGAAAAACTGAATAATCATCAACATATTTAACTCTCCTTAAGTTTGAAAGTGCTACCATCATCAAAAATGTGTTTATTTGCACACAGCGACCCCAGTACTGTGTCTCTAGATGAAGGAATACACATAGCTCTCATGCAAATTCAAAAGCAGACTGAGTTTAGACACATTTGCCATGCTTAATGCACAAGTTTTACAACATAGGTTTTACAAAAAAAGTCATAAAATTACAACAAAGATGTGCCCAAATAAAGAACTGGTTAAAAAAAAAAAAAAAAGGTATTTTAATGGGCTTATGAAACAGATTAGACCTGAAGGAATTCAAATTGTATCAGAAATTATCAAAATAAAGAAAGCATTTACCTGACAATCTTGGCATTAACAATTCCTGGATAAATTCTGAACTTCTGGAATTCTAAAAAAAGGTTTTATACAATATAAAGTTGGAGTCATATCCTCTATCATAAATATGATCAACCTACAGTGAAACTTGGAGGAAAGTTTCTAAAACAAAGTTTAAAAAAAATACATCAAGTTGTCACTAAATATCAAATACACCTTTTCAACTGAAAGCTAGAGAAGTAATTACAGGCTCTTTCATCTCCACATTAAGTGGAATTAAAACCCACCTTGCTTTTTCTTTCACAAGAAATTTATAAAAATATTTCATCTTCTCTGATAATCATTTGGGAATAACATAATGAGCATTTTTGGGGGTAGCAATACATTAGGAATTTTTTTTAATGGTTAAGATGTTATTAACTAGCATTTTCTTCTTCCCAGCAACACTGCCACCATTGAAGCTTCCAATCTGACGGTTCTCCCCGCACTAGCTCCATTACTTGGCAGGACTACCTCCCTGTGTTGCTACATTTTTGTTAACAATTCCATACAGACAAAAGGGAGGAGTACATGCATCTTCACCTGTTCCACTACACTTTCTTCAGTTTCATCAAGAA